GGTTTTCCTTTCTTAGATAGCAGGCCTTGTGCTTTTCACATGGGGAACTGATATGAGGCGTACCAAGCCTGTGACCACACACACGCACACAGTTTTGGGCATCCCTGGTCACGAATCCTTATTTCTGCACAAGGGGAATTAAGATGGGGCGTGCCACACCTGTGAAGCTATAAGGTGTTGGGCCTCAGTGGTCGCGGAAACACATGATATTATTTTTGCCTGAAGTTAGAAAACAATCCAGAAAACATTGTTTACCATTGACAACTAGAACATTGGGGGTTTATCGAAATTGCGCGCTCATCGTCGGCAAAGCGTCGCCGCCATCAGCGGGCTGGCTAAACCGACGGCACAATCTCACTGTGTTTCAATTCAGGTTCGTTTTTTCTTTTTGTTGTTTCCCCTGTTTTTATGACAAACACACAACACATCATCTACTCTACTTATGGCGGGACGATGCAGTATTGTTGGTTGAACCTTGTTGCTTAATCAGGAACGCATGTTGTTTTACTCCGAGACCGGCATTTCAAACCAAACATGTGTTGTTTGAGTTCCAGGCGTAAGGGATCTCAAAACCAAGTTTTCATGGTGAAAACAACACAATGTGTTCTTGATATTCGAATGATGGGGAACAACAAACAAACCTTGTTTCTTTTTCCCAACCATCCTTGGTTGGGTATTCGTTTTGAATGGAGCACTGCTCGCGCGTCCTTCCTCCTTCCTCCCGTCTCCTGCCCTCTCTTCGCTGCCGCTGGGGGGCTGCGATCTGCGAAACTGTCGCCACTTTCGACGGCTGCTGGTGGGTCCAATGGAGCGCGGCACTGCGCGGGCCTGAGGTAGACCTCGCCGTCCCTGGGGGGCTGCAATCTGCGAGACTGTCGCCACTTTCGAGGGCTGCTGGTGGGTCCAGCGCAGTGAGGCACCGCGCGGACCTGAGGTAGACCTCGCCGTCGCTGTAGGGCTGCGATCTGCGAAACGTGTCGCCACTTTCGAAGGCTGCTGGTGGGTCCAACGGAGTGAAGCACCGCGCGGACCTAAGGTAGACCTCGGTGTCCCTGGGGGGCTGTGATCTGCGAAACTGTCGCCACTTTCGAGGGCACCTGGTTGGTCTAGCAGAGTGAGGCACCGCGCGGACCTGAGATAGACCTCGCCGCCCCTGGGGGGCTGCGACCTGCGACATTGCCGCCACTTTTCGAAGGCTGCCGCTGGGTCCAGCGGAGTGAGGCACCGCGCGGACCTGAGGTAGACCTCGCAGTCCCTGGGGGGCTGCAATCTGCGAACTTGTCGCCACTTTCGAGGGCTGCTGGTGGGTCCAGCGGAGTGGGGCACCGCGCAGACCTGAGGTAGACCTCGCCGTCGCTGTAGGGCTGCGATCTGCGAAACGTGTCGCCACTTTCGAGGGCTGCTGGTGGGTCCACCGGAGTAAGACACCGCGCGGACCTGAGATAGACCTCGCCGCCCCTGGGGGGCTGCGACCTGCGACATTGCTGCCACTTTTCGAAGGCTGCCGCTGGGTCCAGCGGAGTGAGGCACCGCGCGGACCTGAGGTAGACCTCGCCGTCGCTGTAGGGCTGCGATCTGCGAAACTTGTCGCCACTTTCGAGGGCTGCTGGTGGGTCCAGCGGAGTGAGGCACCGCGCAGACCTGAGGTAGACCTCGCCGTCGCTGTAGGGCTGCGATCTGCGAAACTTGTCGCCACTTTCGAGGGCTGCTGGTGGGTCCAGCGGAGTGAGGCACCGCGCAGACCTGAGGTAGACCTCGCCGTCGCTGTAGGGCTGCGATCTGCGAAACGTGTCGCCACTTTCGAGGGCTGCTGGTGGGTCCACTGGAGTAAGACACCGCGCAGACCTGAGGTAGAACTCGCCGTCCCTGGGGGTCTGCGATCTGCGAAACTTACGCCACTTTCGAAGGCTGATGGTGGGTCCAAGCGGAGTGAGGCACGGCGCGGACCTGAGGTAGACCTCGCCGTCGCTGTAGGGCTGCGATCTGCGAACCGTGTCGCCACTTTCGAAGGCTGCTGGTGGGTCCACCGGAGTGAAGCACCGCGCAGACCTGAGATAGACCTTGCCGCCCCTGGGGGGCTGCGATCTGCGAAACTCTCGCCACTTTCGAGGGCTGCTGGTGGGCTCGCCACTTTGGAAGGCTGCTGGTGGGTCCAGCGGAGTGAGGCATTGCGCAGACCTGAGCGAGACCTCTCCGTCCCTGGGCGTCCATGTTATGTTGTTGCTGCCCCGCCGACGTTTCAAGCCCCTTGCCCAGTCTCCTTTTGGACCTTGCGTCGTCCTTCGTGACTCAGGGGTTCACTTAGTTACTCATCGTTTTCCCCTTGATTGGGGACCTGCGAACCTTCCGAATGCCGCTCGCAGAAGTAGAGGCGTCCATGTCACGTCGCCGCCTTCTCGTCAAATCTCCCAAGCTACTCCTGCCCCGCATTGCGCAAGGGTTGGGTACGTCGCCAGGGTAATGTGTTGCAGACTGTGATGTGGAAAAGCCAAACCCACAATAATGGTTTTGAGATTTTGCCGTCGGTCTAGCCCGCCGGCTGGTGGCAGCGACGCCTGGCCGACGACGAGCGCGCAAGTTCGGTGAGCCCCCCCCACAAACCAAACACTCAATCATACCGATGAACGACACAAGGTTTCGTGAGAGCAAAGACCAAAACATCTCAAGCACCTTGATGCAATCATATGGCTTCGCGGCCACTGGGGCCCACAACCCTGTCTTCACCGGTCTGGCGTGCCCCATCTTGATTACCCCTGTGAAAACACACGATTTCGTGACCACGGATGCCCCGACCTGTGTGTGTTCACAAGATTGGTGCGCCTCAAATCAATTTCCCATATGCAAACATAAGGTCTTCGTTACCTCCGGAAAACCTTGTGTTCTCATAGGTTTCCATCGTGCTTCTGGGCACGGAGTGGGCGTGTCCTCAGGTCTTCTCACTATCCCTCTAAGCCTCAGTCCTCACGTTTTCTTTTTTTCTTCTTCTTCTTCTTCCGGAGTTCGGAGAGCCCCTCATCTCAAATCGCTTGGGGCTTGTCGCGTCTTGTCGTGGGACCATTTCGGACCCAAGAGGGCCCCAATACAGGCCAAGAGGGCCCCAAGAGGCCCCCAAGACGGCTCCGAGTCCCCTCGCATTATCGCCCCAAGACGCCCGAGATGGCTCCACGACGGCCCAAGGCTACAAGAGGCCTACCAAGAGGGCCCCAAGAGGCCCAAATTATTGAGTTGCCCTCGGTTTTTGAAGGTTGTTGGCGTTCTCGCGTTTTCTGTTCCCTGACGTTCCCAGACGGCCCTAGAGGCCCCGAAGACCGCCCCAAGACGGCCTAGGAGGCCTCCAAGAGAGCCCCCAAACGGCCGAAGGGGGCCCCAAGACAGCCCAAGAGGCGCCCAAAACTGCCCAAGAGGGCCCCAAGACGGCCCCAAAAGGAGCCCCAAAGAAGGATTACGCACCGAAAATCTCAGCCTTCCGCCCCAAGAGGCCCCCACGCCCAAGAGGCGTCGTGTCCAAACTGCCTCCAAGAGGCCCCCGAGAAGCCTCACACGAGATCCCAAGGAACACCTCATAAGCTTCATACCCACAACCCAGGCACTGTGACGGGATGGGCCGACGGCCATTCTATCCGCCAGTGCCTGGCGTGCTGAACCCTACTGGTTTGATTTTCTGACCTTTTTCCAAAAGAGCCCTCCCCTGGGGCCTCGGCGCGTCCCGCTGGCCACGCGGAACGGCGCACAACGTGCTGAACAAATCACAATCGCCTCCAAGACGGCTCAGATGGCTCAAGATGGCCTCCAAGTTCGCCCAAGATGGTCCCACATGGCCTCCAAGATGGCCTAAGAAGGTCCAAGATGCCTCCAAGTCGGCCTAAGACGCCTCCGAGACGCCCTGAGATGGCCTCAAGCTGGCGGCAGACGGCCTAAGAGGCCCCCAAGAGGCCTCCAAGGCGGACCAAGAGGGCCCCAAGAGGGCTTCCAGGAAGGCCCGAAGAGGCCAGCCTCGAGGTTCCCATGTTGTGTGTGTGTGTGTGTGTGTGTGTGTGTGTGTGTGTGTGTGTGTGCTGTGGGTACGTGTGTGTGTGTGTGTGTGTGTGTGTGTGTGTGCGTGTGCGTGTGCGTGTGCGTGTGCGTGTGTGCTTTTTCTCTGGATTTTGGCATTTGATCCTTTTTCGGCCTTCCGACGGCCCGAGACGGCCCAAGAGCCTTCCCAACGATCTCCCCAAGATCGCCTAAGAAGCATCCAAAATGGCACCAAAACGGCCCAAGAATCCCCCAAGATGGCCCCTATGGTACCACATACCGCCCTCCAGTCCAAGTCAGCACACCCCCTACACGCTTCGTGGTTTCATAAGGGGCTCCACCGAAACCCATCCAGGGATGGTGCCACACAGCGTCCCCCAGCCCATGTCGGCACACCCCTCACACTTTCCGTCGCCCCACAGGGAGTTCCACCGAAGCCCCTCCATGGGTGGTGCCAAACAGCGTCCCCCCACCCGACACACCCCTCACACGTTTCATGGCCCCATAGGGAGCTCCACCGAAACTCCTCCAAAAATAATGCCACTTAGCGTCCCCAAGCAATGTCGGCACGCCCCTCACACATGTGGTGACCCGCCGAAACCCGCAAGCGCTGCTGCCACATAACGTCCCCTAGCCAAACTCCAGCACGCCCCACCGAAGCCACCAAAGTGTGGTGCCGCTTAGCATTCCCCACTCCATTTCGGCACACCTGTCCGACGTTTCGTGGCCCCATGAAGGAACTCCACCAGAACCCTCACGGGGTTCATGCCGCAAAATGCCCCCCAGCCCATGTCGGCACACCCCTAACAAGTTTCGTGACCCCGCAAGAGCCTTCCACCGAAGCCCCCAGGGGGTGGTGCCACATAGTAGTGTCTTCTAGGTAATTTCGGCACACCCCTCACACGTTTCGTGGCCCCACAGGGAGCTCCATCGAAGCCCCGAGGGGGTGGTGCCATTTCGACACATTCCTCACACGCCCCAGATGGCTGGGTTCTTCGCTAAGATACAGTGTGCTTGCTGGTGTGGTCACGACGCAAGGATGTCACAGAAGAGGGGCCTTGTTCTGGAGGTCGGACAGCACCATCCCCACCTTCGCTGCCTTGGCCGCGCCCGGGCTGTTCTGCTCGCTGGGGAAGAGGCTGACCTGCTTCCCCACTTGATGGGCCTGCGCGGATGCCCCGAAGGGAAGGTGTGTGTGTGTGTGTGTGTGTGTGTGTGTGTGTGTGTGTGTGTGTGTGTGTGTGTGGGGGAGAAGGGGAGACGGTCCCCAGAACAGTGGAGGAGGAAGAGGACGGTGGGGGGAGAGGGGGGCGGCAAGATAGGTGCGCTCGCGCCACACATATATGTATACACATACACATAATGTAGTTTGTACACATCGATAAAGATATCTATATACATATATATATATATAGATATATACACATATACATAGACATATGATATCCGACCCCTCCCATCCATCCCTTCCCATTGCGCTGATTTCTGGGGCGGTAGTGATGAGGAAAGACCCAGGTCCAGGAACTGGTGGCCAGCGCTGTGGCTAGAGCGCCTTTCGGAATGAGGGGAGCAGAGCGCAGCTACTACATTCAGGCTAACGTCGCAGCTGCAACGCCATTTGGACGCCCGAGTTATCCGGGGTAACTCGGGTCCGGGGTAACTCGGGTTTGGGTTCCCGACAAACGAACCCGAGTTAGCCCTGACCCGAATTACCCCTGATGATTCGGGGCTCTGGACGCCCGAAATATCCGGGGTAACTCGGGTCCGGGGTAACTCGGGTTCGAATTCCCGAAACACAAACCCGAGTTAGCCCTGACCCGAGTTACCCCTGATGGTTCGGGGCTCTGGACGCCCGAAATATCCGGGGTAACTCGGGTCCGGGGTGACTCGGGTTCGAATTCCCGACAAACAAGCCCGAGTTAACCCTGACCCGAGTTACCCCTGATGGTTCGGGGCTCGGGGCCATGTCGGCACACCGAATACACGCCGCCGCGCCGCTAGTTCTCGAGGCACCCAAAGGGGACGACGCCGACACGGCGGCAAACCCACGGCGAACCCGCCGCCCCGCGCCCCGGCAGACGAAGCCGGGCACCGCGGCAGACCCGGGGCAGGCCCCCCGCGCCCGAGGCGGCGCTTGCCCCAGTGGCCGCGGCGCCCTCCCCGAGGCGGAAGGCCGCGCGTGGGAACTGACGGCGCGGCGACGCCTTCCGCTTCGATGGCTGCTCGTGGGCAAGACAGGCTTTGGCACCCCAGCGCGACGAGCAATGCGCGGCGAGGGGGCGGACGAGCGCCCGGCCACCCTCGGGAGGGAGAAGGGACGAGTGTTCAGAATGGCTGCTTGTTTTGAATGGGGGGGGGGGAGGAGGGAGGGGGGGAGGGGAGGGAGGGAAGGGAGGAGGAGGAGGAGGGATTGTCGAGGAGGAGGAGGAGAAGGGGGAGGAGGAGGGGTGGGAGAAGGGGGAGGAGGGGGAGGAGGATGAGGAGGATGAGGAGGAGGAGGAAGAGGAGGAGGAGGAGGAGGAGGGGGTGGAGGAGGGAGGAGGCGGAGGAGGAGGAGGTTGACGATAATGAAGATGATGATGCTGCTGATGATGAAGATGATTGCTGATGCTGACTATGCTGATAATGGTGATGATGATGATGATTATGATGAAGGCGGTGATCCTTATGACGACGATGATGATGATGATGATGAGGATGATGATGACACTGATGCTGACACTGATATTGATGATGATGATGATGATGATGATGATGATGATGATGATGATGATGATGAGACCCTGCCTCCACGAGTGGTCAGGGATGAAACCCTTGCAGCAAGACACATTGACACGAGAGCACCAGGCGTTGCAATGCAAAAGGGAAATGGAAGGCGACAGGAACACAGAGGCAGAGACAGAGACCACCGAGCCAGCACACAATTAGACATGAGTGTGACACATGAAAAGCGGTGGGTGACAGGCGTAAGGCCCAGATCAGACAAACGCTGTCTAGAGACCTTGGCAAGCGGGGTGGGGGGGGAGCCGACAGCGAACACCCGAACAGGGGGAAAAATAACGCGCACAAGCGGAGGGCAAGAACGCGGGAAGGAGAAGAGCCAGGCAGAGCACTCAAAGCAATCATGTCAGCGCGATGGCCTGAATTACAAGGCTAACACCCTGCATGACCGCCATGACTCGCAAGATGCCGGTCCCTGCCACTTTTGGGGGCCACAGAAATGTGAACAAAATCACGCAGAACTCAGACCTTAGACGGCACATCACACACGCAAATAATAATAATAATAATAATAATAAGACGAACCAAATCAAGCACAACACAGTTCATCACGAACCCAACTTCTGACGTTGCCTCTGTAGGCTTGCCGTCGCGGTCTCCTTCCGCTGCAACGGTGCGGGCGCCAGGCTTTGGAAGATTTCAACACGCAACTTCTCATGACAAGTGGCCTGCCCGTTGCAGCTGCATCCTGGGCCAAACTCTCTCGACGTGCGATCTGTTCAGCGATGAGCGCTTCAATCCCCCTCCTCCGCCCTCCTCCTCCTCCTCCTCCTCCTCCTCCCTCCTCCTCCCTCCTCCTCCTCCTGCGATGAAGTCTGACCGCCGTCCGGCAGGGCTCTCTTGACACTTGCTGGCCCCATCCAGGAGGCCACACGTGCTCGCCCGAACTTCGTCTACCTGTTTCTGAGCTTTATCAAGACGCGTGTCCAGCTGCTCAAACTCCATCTCCTCCTGCGGAACGAACAACGTAAGAGCCGCATGAGCATCATCGTCTGCAAATGTGACCATCTCCGTCCAAAGGGATACATTTACAACAGTCGTTTTTTGCAGCAACTTCGCTGTCCGTTCTACAGCATTGTCATCAGGTGACCGCTCCCAGAAACGACCCTTCAGAGATCCCGAGAAACACAGATCAACGCTTTCAAATTTGCTTTCGCCATGCTGGTACAACACTATGTTGCCAATTGATGACGGGCTGGGCGCTCTCTGGCTCCTTAGCCACGGCATTGTGTCCCTCCATTTTCGAGTTCGGCCCATGTTGGAGCGGTTCTGCCAAGCAACCATGCCTACGGACCCAATGTGCTCCAGAAACGCCTCGGTCAAGGTGGGGACAAAACCTGGCGCACTCGGGTTCATGAGCGTACCCATCGGTTTCCCATGTAACAGCTGACCCAGTTTGAAATGCGGACGGAGAGGAACTCGGAGCTATTGTTCCCCACATCTTAAGTGGTGTTTGGTTTTCTCTGGACACCCCGCGCCGTCCTCCTCAAACCCCATCTCCTCTTATCCCTTCGCACACTCACTCACTCACTGAATGACTCACACACCATCACCGTCATAACAACTCACAACAGCATCATCACTCACTCCATCACTCACATCATCATCATCACCATCATCAGTCACCATCAACACCACCATTACCATCATCAGCATCATCGTCATCATCGCCATCAGCACTATCCCCATCATCATGCTGTACTTTTTCATTACCATCACTATCACCACTACCACCACCATCATCATCATCATCACCATCCTCAACACCGTCAGAATTACCATCGTCACCACCAGTATCACCATCATCGGACGGTACTTCATCGTTACCATCCGAGTCCCCATCACCATCACATATCATCATCGTCATAAGCGTCTATTATTAGGGAGCCATTATCACTATCACTGTCGCCACCACCTCCATCGTCACTACACACACGCGCAGTCACCCATGTTGGGGACATCTCGACTGGGAGCCTCGTCCCTGAGCGAATCTGGAGGAAGTCTCAGGCAGGAACCCTCTCCCTATAGGGCCCTGCAACTCATGTTACTAATCCGAGCGAGTCATCCAAATCCTGTATCAGTCGTCACTTTTGGGGTCCTCATGCCTGAACATGGGTGGGGGCCTCGTCTCTGGGTGAGTCGCGAGGAAGTCTCATGCGGGAGCCGTTGCTAATCCGAGCGGGCCATCGAATTCCTGTAGCTGTCGTGATGTTTGGGGTGCCCATCCCTGAACATGGAGGAAGCATCAACCGGGGACCTCGTCTTTGAAACAACGGCGAGGAAGTCTTAGGCGGGAGCCCCCTCCCTCCGCAGCTCATGTTACTAATCCGAGCGGGTCATCACAATCCTGTAACCGTTGTCGTGTTTGGGGTCCTCATTCCTGAACGCGGAAAACATATCGAGCGGGGGCCTCGTCTGTGAGTGAATTGCGACGAAATCACAGGCGGGAGCCTCCTCCATATGGGGCCCGCACTTCATGTTATAAACCCCAGCGGGTCGTCCGATTCCTGTATCGTCACCTTTGGGGGCCTTATGCCTGAACGTGGAACTTTTCCAACATCTCACTCCGTTGGAAAATATCCAACGGAGTGAGATGCGACGAAATCAGCCAGGCGGGAGCCTCCTGCGTATGGGGCCCGCAGCTCATGTGACTCATCCGAGCGGGTCATCCAAATAATGTGTTTGTCGTCACTTTCGGGGTCCTCGTGCTTGAATATGGAAGAAATATGAAGCGGGGGCCTCGTCTCTGAGTGAACTGCGAGGAAGTCTAAGGCGGGAGCCCCCCCCTTCCCCCCGATGGGGCCCACAGCTCATATTATTAATCCGAGCGGGTCATCCCAAACCTGTAACAGTCGTCACTTTTGGGCTCCGGTAGCCTGAGTGCCGGGAAAGTATGAAGTGTGAGCCTCTTATGTGAGTGAGATGCGGGTAGCCTCGTCCGAGCTGGTCGTCGGCAAATTTGTCACTGTCATGGGCCCGCGTGCCAGAAAAGGCGACTGAGGAGCTGACGACGACGACGAGACAACGGCCGGGGGCACCTCTCGTGTCCAGGCCGGGCACCTTGGCGATTTCCTGCAGCTGAAGCCAACCGGCAGCGTCGGCTTCCTGACGGACGTGAGCGAACTCCTGGACGACGGGTCCTACAACTACGCGGAAACGCCGACGGTGGAGATTCAGCACGCCATACAGGAGGTCCTCTGTCAGATCCCGTGCGTCGTCGAGTTGAAGAGGACTTCCGAAGCGTTTAGAACCCGGGGGCCCTCTGATGACGCTCCTGCGCTGCATGCGCGAGAAAAAGCCCTTGCCACCAGAGGTCTGGTCTGCTTGGGAAGAGGTGTTCGCCTCGGACAACCACGGCGTCCTGGACCTTCGGCACCAAGACGAAAACTTGCGGCTCGGCTCCGGCATGGGTAAATACTGGGAAACGCTAGCGAGGTGGATCAACACGCGCGCTCGTCGCGACGCACTGCGTCTGGGCGTGCCCGTTGTTTTATTGCAGGTCGTGGACCAATGTGACACGATTCGGGGCGATCCCAACGCGGGCGGGCGCCTGCTGAACGTCCCGGGCACGCACAAGGCGGGCGACATTCACGGTGTCTTACCGGCCCACGTCGGCATGGCGGCGCGGCTCACGGCAGCGCAGAAGAGCAACGGGCCACCATCGTGTCCTTTTAGTTCCACCCTGAGGACGAGCAGCGGCATGAGGAGTGCTCACCATGCCAGCTCTTTCGCCCCGCTTTCTGCCGCGGGGAATCTGGCTGCAGGTGCACGGCTTCAAGGAGTCTCCGATCTACCGGGAGGTCGCCGGGCCGCTGCGACAGGGCGCCGAAGGCGCCGACGACGACGGCCAGGCCGAGGCACGGGCGCGGAGCTTGTTGATTTTCATGCCCAGTGAGCAGGAGTTCGCATGGCCAGAGCTCGGGGCCGCACGCCGTGCGCCGCTCGGGGTTCACCATGACGCACGCGTCCTACCTCACCTCCACGCTGTCGCAGGGCCGGACGCTACGCAATGGCGTCACCATCGACTGCGCGAGAGACGAGGACGCTGGCCGCACGGGCATGTCGGACGACCAGTGGTGGCTGCATCTCAACGTTATGTTTTCATGCGCCACGTGCATGCGGAACATGCTGATCCTGCGGCCGCCGCCGCGAGAATTCCTGTAACGAGGGCCGCCTGCGTCCTTGCGGAAAGCGCTCCTGGAGTTCGACAAAAATGCGGAGGGCTCCAGGGCAGAGGCGGAGCAGCTCGCAGCAGAGCTGGGCTTCGTGCTGCTTCCTGCCTGAACGCGGCTGCACCCCACTCGAAGCCCGCGGGGTTGTCCCAACGGCTTGGTCTCGCGCGCCAGCGGCTCGCGGGGTTGTCCCGACGGCCTGTCCCGCGGGGTTGTCCCAACGGCTGCGCGATGTGGCCATTCGAAAAATGCGCCCGTGCTGGCAGAGGCGGCGACGGCGCCGAGGAAAAACGGCATGCGCGCCCATGCAAAAGAAAGGGGAGGAGGTAGCGGGGCGTGAAAAAAAGACAGGGGGGCGAGGGGGGGACAACGTAGGGAGCCGGAGGAGGGCCCGCGCCAGGGAGAGAAGGAAAATGACGCAGAGGAGACAGTAAGGGCGCCTCACTAATCGCGAAGGACGACGGTGAGGACTATCTCCGAATTAGCCGAGAGGCTTCTCATGCGGGGTCCTATCGTCGGAATCATTTTACCACACTCAGTTCGTTCCACATGGTGGAAAGAAAACTCGCGATACAGATCTTTAACCGCTCGATGGGCCATCCGTGTTTATGTGGTAAGATGTGAGAAACAAAAGGAGTTCACAAATGCAGAATGTTGCAGTCGCCTCACCGCGACCTGACTCAGGCCAATCTTGCTTGAGCCAAAACGCTTAAGGAGATTCAGGAGGAGGCGGAGGAGAAAGAAGAGCGCTACTCCCTGGCCATCTGAAGGGGGAGAGAGGAGAGCAGCACTCACGAGGAGTAACTGCTGGGAAGTTATTGAAGAAAGGCGGAGGCGAGGGAGGGGGAGGGAGGAGTGGCGAAGGATGATGATGAGGAGGAGGAAGAAGAAGGACAATCAGGAACATGATCAGTAAGACGTGGAAGGAGGGCGCAGGAGGAGGAAGAGGACGAGGAGGACGATGAGGAGGAGGAGGAGGAGAAGGAGGAAGGAAGAAGGGAAGATGTAGGACGGGCCGAGGGATGATGATGATGATGATGATGATGATGATGATGATGATGATGATGATGAGGAGGAGGAGGAGGAGGAGGAGGAGAACGAGGGGAATGATGCTGCTGATGATGAGGCTGCTGCTGATGACGATGATGAGGGTTAGGATGAGGAAGAGGAGGAGGAGGAGGAGGAAGAGAAGAAGGAGGAGGAGGAGGAGGAGGAGGAGGAGGAGGAGGAGAGAGAAGAGGACAAGTGAACGAGGAAGCTGTGAGGAGCGAGGGGACGAGGAGAAGAGGACGAGCAGGAAACGGCGAATGAGACAATTGGAAGGAGGACTTGGCCTGGCTGAGCTGCCTTTCCACTGCTCCCGCATCGCCGTCCTCTGAGGGCCAACTTTGCTCAGAAGCCGACTTCCCAGGACAACGTCCTCAAGGCAGACATTGGCGCCAACAGGTGCCCCTCCCAGGGGAGGAGGGGAGGAGGGGAGGAGGGGGGGTGGGGAATGTAAGTAATTACCCCCGCGCTCCGAACCAAACGTGAAGCGGGGACGGAGGAACACCACCAGCGGAACGCCCGCTCAATCCCGACGCTGCTCCATGAGGTGCGTGGGGGTGGCGTGCCCCCTTCTCCAGTGCAAGACACGGTATCAGCAATCCTCCTGACCGATTTCACTCGCACCTTCTTCACCTTCCATCGAGAACCTCTGGAAGCTCAGCAGGCACCGAACTCCTGTTGAACCAATCGAACACTTTCTGAGCCTCCGTCCGCCCCTTCCTCCTCTAGGAATCGGTCTCCCGAAGTCGGCCTCCTGGCAAAGCCAGCTCTCCCATTCCTTAGACGTCGCGCCTTTCTTTTTTCACGCCGTGGCCTTCTGGAGCTCTCTAACCCATCCACTGGAGCGGTGTTGCGTCTCGTGCTGTTCTGTTCTGTCGACGGCCCTGTTGAATGCCCTGGAGCTCGAAAACACCTTATGGACGACAACATTTGAAGAAGAAGCTGTTGCGAGATTTGTTCGTGACGCCGATGAAGAGGTACTCAGTGTGGGCTCTCAGGTCCTGGGTCGTGTCCCTGGACTTCACTCCTGGTGGGGGCGGCGCTGAGGAGGAGGAGGGAGAGAATGAGGAAGATGAAGAGGTTCAGGAGAAGGAGGGGGATTATGATGAGGAAGATGAGGGGGTAGAAGGAGGAGGATGAGAAGGAGGAGGAGGAGGAGGAGGAGGAGGAGGGGAAGGAGGAGGAGGAGGGAGGAGGAGGAGGAGAGGGGGGAGGAGGAGGAGGAGGGAGGAGGAGAGGAGGAGGAGGGGGAGGAGGAGGAGGAGGAGGAGGAGGAGAAGGAGGAGGAGGAGGAGGAAGAGGAGGAGGAGGAGGAAGAGGAGGAGGAGGCAGCAGCAGAAGAAGGGTGTCCCTCCTGGCAGGAGCGTCGACCCCGCGTGCTCGCCCCTGGACTGCGTCGGCGGGAACTCCGCGGGCATCGGCACCGGCGGCGGCTCGTGGGTCGAGGGCGCCTGCCCGCGGCGGGGGGGGGAGGGGAAGAGGGGGCGGAGGCGATGGGATGGAGGGAGGGAGGCACGGAGGGGGAAGGAGGGATGCGAGAGGAGGGAGGGAGGCATGGAAGGAAGGAGTGAGGGAGGGGGTGGATGACAAGCCAGGTGTGCTCGCGTCATATCTGTCGTTCCACTCCTCCCTCCCATCCCTTACCATGGCGTAGATCTCCCCCTTTCGCACAGTCGGATGTCGCAGCATGGCATAGCATTACATGGCATAGCATTGTGTTGAAGATCAACGCGTAGCATGACATAGCATGGTGGGGCGACGCCCCAAAGCGGGGGGGCTTCTGCGGCCCAGAAATCAACGAATCGACACCGGATGTGTAATCACTTCCGATGGTTCTTTCGGGGGGGGGGGGGGGGCACTTTCTAGATTGTGGGGCCTGTGTGGAAGGACTCGAAACCATGCCGTGGCATGGCGCTTGAAATAATGATGCAAGCGCTGCAGCGGGAGCACGATTCGGAACGAGCGAAGCTCGAAAATGATGCCAACGCTGCAGCGGGAGCACGACTCGGAACGAGCGGAAGCCCGAAAATGAGGCCAGCGCTTCAGCCGGAGCAACATTCCGAGAAATAACCCAAGCGAAAACCCAACTCCTGGGAATCCAGTGGAAAAAAACAGAGCGCGGAGGGGGGCCGGACGTCTTCCGGACGTCATCAGGGGAGAGAGGAGAATAGTATTCGTATTGTGTAATTGTAAAGGGGGTAGGAGGGAAGGGAGGAGGGGGAGGGCGAGGAAGGGAGGAGGGAGGGAGGAGAGAGGAGGGAGGGAGAAGAGAGCACGAAGATAAGCTAGGTGCACTCGCGCCACATCTGACATTCAATCCCTCCCCCTATCCCTTCCCATTGCGCTGACTTTTCTGTATCCCTGGACGCGCGTCATAGCCGACATCGTGTCGTGCGCAATGGGAAACACGGAGCTTCGTGCATAGGAGTCGAAGGCGGCGGGTGAGCAGGAGGATGAGCAGTAGAAACATGAGGAGGATGTGGAAGGAGGAGAACCAGGACGAACAGCAGCAGGAGCTGGAGAGGAAGGAGCGGGAGGAGCAGGAGGACCAGGGGAAAACTGAGCAGATGGCCTCGGCGAGTAAACCGACATCATTGAACTTACACTGTTTTAGCCCGCTTGACGTACTGCGGCCCCTCCTTTGATCGATCTCCTCCAAGATGGCCCCTAAGATGCCCCCCAGGGCTCCCGAGGGTCCCCCAAAACGGCCCCAAGAGGTGCCCAGGGGAGGCCCCAAGAGGCCTCCAAGATGCCCTCAAGAAGCTCCCAAGAATAAAGAGGCCCCCCAGAAGCACACAAGACGCCCCAAGAGGCCTCGGCCAGAAGGCCAATACCATTGGTTTCACGACTGATTTGGCAACATTTTGGCATCTTGGGGGGGGGGCTAATGTGCTACGGCCTCTCTTTGATCGATCTCCTCCAAGATGGCTCCAAGATGGAACGTTTTTCCCGTTCCAAATGGCTCCGAGATGGCCTCCAAGACTGCTAAGATGGCCCTCAAGTTCGCCCAAGATGGTCCAACATGGCCTCCAAGACGGCCCCAGACCGTCCACGATGCCTCCAAGTTTGCCCAAGAAGCCTCCAAGACGGCCCAAGACTGCCCAAGAGGCTCCCAAGAGGCTTCCAGGACGGCCCAATACGCTCCAGATGGCTCCAGGACGGCCAACTATGGCCTCCAAGACAGCCAAGATGGCCTCCAAGACTGCCCAGGAGGGTCCAAGATGGTCTCCAAGATGGCCCCCGAGCGTCCAAGGTGCCTCCAAATCCGCCGAAAAAGCTTCCAAGACAGCCCAAGAAGGCCCAAGAAGCCCCTAAGACGGCCAAAGAGGCCTCCAAGAGGTTCCCGGGAGGACCCGAAGAGCTCAAACTCATTGATCTTCCTTCGGCTTTTGAGGGAGTTGGCACTTGCTTCTGTTCGGCCTCCCGACGGCCCAGGACGGCCCAGGCGGCCTCCAAGATCGCCCCAAAATAGCTCCAAAGGCCTCCATGATGACCCCATGACGGCCCAAGAAGCCCTCAAGACGGCCCCAAGAGGGCCTCCAAGTTTGCCCAAGGTCATCCAAGATGGCCTCCAAGAAATTCCCAGAGGGTCCAAGACGGTCTCCAAGACGGCCGAAGAGGGTCCAAGATGCCCCCAAGTCCGCCCAAGAAACCTCCATGGCGGCCCAAGACGGCCCAAGAAGCCCCTAAGACGACGCTAATCTCATTTACTTGTTCTCACGTTTTTGAGCGATGTTGGTATCTTCTTATTTTCGGCCTTGCGACGGTCCGAGACGGCCCAATAGGCCCCCAAGATCGCCTCAAGATCGCCCAAGAGGCCTCCAATATGGCCCCCCAAATTGCCCACGAGACCCCCAAGACGGCCCCAAGAGGGCCCCAAGACGGCCCAAGAGGCCTTCAAGAAACCCAAGATGGGATGGCCTTCCAAGACGGCCCTGGAGCACCCCAAGAGGGCCCCCAGTCGGTTCAGAACGGTTTCCGGCGGCGTCAGGCGGGCCAGGAACGCCGCAAGACTGCCAAAGAGGCATCAAAAAGCCCCCAAAGGACCCCACGACGCCCAAGAAGGCCCCAAGATGCCTCCAAAAGGCCGCCAGGAAACTCCCACGAGGCATCAAGAGTACCCCCAGAGACTCCCAAGATGCCCCCTCCTCCTCCTCCTCCTCCTCCTCCTCCTCCTCCTCCTCCTTTTCTTCCCCGCCATCCTCCCCCAAGTCTGCCCCGAAGGGTTTCCACGACGGCTGGGGGAACACATGGCGATAGCTTGGCGAAGCTCTGGCCACAACGCTCGGCCACGTGGGTGATTTCAAAAGGCAGGGGGCGGCGGTGATTCGCCGCAGGCGTCTTCGATTCAACATCATCCTGTGCGCGTAACCTCGACTGGGTGAACGGCACCCCCCCGAGGCCCCTTCAATACGGTCCTGGTGGCGGTGCTGGCATGGCACGCGGGATACCTGCTTGCTCGGGCACTCAATCGCTGCCTCCTGTGCCTTGTTTCCTGGGGGGGCCAGCCAGGCTGGCCCCGCTGGCGAGTCCACGGGTGGTCGGCACAGGGTCAGGTGGTTTTTGAACAACCTGTGCTGTTTGAGCTTGGGCGAGCGGAGCGAGAGGTGCCATTTGGCTTACGAAGACACTCGGGTCTGTGTTCGTGCTGGCTTGCGTGGATTGGGCCGCGTAGACCCTTTGTTCGAGTTGGTGGCGTTGCTGCGCGAGGGTGGCCTGACTGGTGGCTACGCTGGTGACGGTTGTTGCGAGCAGCTTGACGGTTTCGGCAAGCTGCTGCTGGCCAGCCCCCAAATTTCTGAACCTCGCGCTTGTTTGGTCGAAGATACTTTGGACGCCAGGCTGTGGTGCCCACTCCTCGGCAGGGAATTCGTCGTGGCCCGTTGCAGCGTACTGCTTGTTGGTGGACAAAGGGTGGGGTGTCGGTGCCTTCAAGTCGGTCGGCGTCGCCCACCATGTCGCAGTCAGCAGCATCCTTTGTGGCAAGGTGGCCATCGTCGATGTGTGTGGTGGCGTTCGATGCTGCTGCCTCGCTTCTGAGAGCCCTGCGCGCTGCCGTTGCGCTGTTTTTTCCTTTCGCGGCGGGGTGTTCGGCGGCAGTGGTGTTTTTGGGCTCAGTAGTGGTTTTGAGAGTGCTCGGAGGTGCGGTCTGGCGGCCGCCCTGTCCCGCAGGGATTGGGGGGTGTCTGACCCTGCTCCCCCCCTCCGCGGGCGATCCCACAACAGGTTCCTCAGTGAGGATGAGCACCGGTGAGCAAGAGCCGCTGGTGCTCTGGGGGGAATCGGCTTTGGCAGGGGCACGCGCCGTGGACGTGGAGTGTAGCGTTCAGTGGGGGTTCGCCGCCGTGGCTACGGGGAAATTGCCCCTGGCGGTTGTGTCCCATTCTGCGCGTTGGACTGTGCAGTGCCGTTCGACGGATGCCAGTGCGTTGGCGAGCTGCGTCCTGGTGGCGCTCTGTGGCCCGACATCCATGATGCAGTACCTGGTGCTGGTGAGTTCGGAGTCAGTTCTCCGTAGTTTCCAGAGAGACATGTTTCGCTCCCTCGGTGTCGGGCTTGACTCTGGTGCCCACTGTTTTTGTCTGAGCGAACAGCCCCATACGCTCCGTGCTTGGCTGAAGTGCCGCGCGCTTCCTGAAGCATGGTTTGTGGCCATCTGGGTATCATGCGATGATGTAGTTACTGGGCGGGGGGCCCTTTGATGCCATGGTAGCTTATGTCGAACCCAATGCCTCCTTGCCCTGAGGCGGCGAATACCATGGGCACGTCTGCAGGTTTGATCCCGAAGGTAGCCGTGAGCTTGCGCTTGTCGGATGCTATGCCGTGGCGACCGAAGAGCTTCATGGCTTCTTGCACTGCTACGATACGGAAATGGGACGTGACGCGGCTGTGAACGCGAACAGTTCCTCGAGAGCACGTGTGACCGCAACGCCGTCTGCCTCGCAAATGGCGGCGCGGATCCAGACGGGGTTGTCTGCTGGGTCAAGGGTGACTCGGGCGACGTTCTGGAGGCACTTTACCTCTTCCCGTCCTAGCCGGTACACGGTCCCTTGGATGTGTCCTGGCGTAGGCTTGGTTGCCTTGGCCGTGCGGCGGAGCACTTGGATTTGGAACCCTTTTCCTGGGTAGTCGGTGTTAATGGGCCCCAGGACGGCAAGCGCTAGAGATTTATCTGGTGTGTGACTTCGCTGTGATCAGCGGCCGCCTTCCTGTAGCGTGTGCAATGAGCTGCTGCTGGTGCACGGCGCCCCGTCGCCCTCTCTGACAGGCGCGGTGGTAACGGTGACGCCCGTGTCTGGCGCATGAGGCTGATGAGAGGGGCCCTGCCTGTTCCCTGGTGGGTACTGGACAGCGACCCATGCTGATGGTGGGTCGCGCACTCAGGCCTTATTGTGCATGAGAGAGAAATGCAGCATGGTGTAGCTGATCTTGTTTTCCCGACGCAATCTCA